GGCCACAGCTGAGGAGCAGCCCCTGGTGGTGATGAAAGGTCCACGTTCGGAGGGGATGTAGTATCGGCACAGGTCGGAGCTCAAAACCTTCATGTATTTTTAAGGATTGAAGAGGGAAAAGCATGAAGTAGCAAACAAGTTAGCTGTGAGCTGGTGAAAGGAAATGGATTCCATTAAATGTATAGGTCCTCAGCATAGAGGGAAGATTGGTTCCCTTTAATGGACAGATTTTATGTGAATGAGACATTTCTGTCCTCAGACCTGAACATGTCCTCCTGATGTTTATGAATCCTGAGCAGGACATGTGACCAGCTAATATTATGTTAATGTGGACCACATTCAATGGTTTAGTGGCTGAGGTAATTCATAAGGACACTTGGGCTCGTTCACTCTGGCTCCCAGCGTTGGTCTTTGTTTCGTCAGCTTTCAGCTGAGCTGATTGTCAGTCATGTCACTCGGTTGTTGCTGACACAAACCGACGGCGTGGGAAAAGGTTCCACCTGGAAGCTGTCCAAACGCTCAGCGAGCAGGCCTACGACAAAGGGAATTCCCCTCATCAGCCATTCCACTCGTTTCCTCTGGCTGAGAACTGAAACCTCGTGCCTCCTCACAGAGTTCCAGGTGTTGGGGGACATCCAGCGGCCCGTCTCCTTACTGGCCACGTAAACAGGACCACCGTCCTAGCTTCGCTGCACTGGCTCCCGGTTGCTTTTGGAATAGAATTTAAAATGTTTGTTTTTTAAAGCTCTTAATGGCCTAGCCCCCAGTATCTGACTGAGCTCCTCCAAATCCATGCACCTGCCAGAAAACTGAGATCCTCCAATCAGATGCTACTGGCCACGCCTAAAACCAGACTCCAAACCAAAGGTGACCGAGGCTCTGGAACAACCTGCTCCTGCGCATTCCATCTGCAGGCTCTTTGGAGTTTTTTTTTTTTTTTTTTTTAAATCCTCCCTAAAAACACACCTCTCCCTGGCTTTTAATCAAGTCTAAGTGGATATCTGGCACAAAATTATTTTATTTAATTTTCATTCTATTTTATTGTATTTATATATTTTAGCTTTTTTAGTTCCCTTATTTCCTGCAACTGATATCTGGACAGCACTTTGGTCGACCTGGTTGTTTTAAATGTGCTTTATAAATAAAGGTTGAGTTTAGAGGTCTTTAGTAAAATGAGTCTCTGGCAGCAGCTGTTGGCTTTAACCTTTCCCTCCTCCTGAGCATGCTAACCCCTCAAAAACAGAGGAATGGCTTTGTTTTTTGTGGAAGCCTGTGCTGACCTGTCCACGCTGTCTTTCAGAGGCCAACGTCGGCACGTCCATCCAGGTGGACTCCACTGCCAGAGGGTCAGCAGCCGCCTGGGCCATACTGCCCGTCTGTGAGTGAACACACACAAACGCACACCTATAGGGGGTCCAGCAGAGGGCTCACAGACGTGTGTCCACCCCTCCCTCCCTCCAGTGCTGCTGGCCATGGCGGGAGCAGGCGGCTACCTGATGTGGAGGAACTGGCAGCTGAAGAACCAGAAGAGCATGAACTTTGACAACCCAGTCTACCTGAAAACCACAGAAGAAGACCTCAACATTGACATCACCCGCCACAGCGCCAGCGTGGGCCACACGTATCCTGCGGTGAGTTGAAGGGCTCAGTACTGCACTATATAAGGCACGCCGGATTATAAAGCGCACATGCAATGAACGACCTATGTCAAAATTGTTTCCATATATAACTCGCACTGCATTCAGACTTCAACAAACACAAACCAGCATTCTGACTGTTTACTCCTAAAATTAATAAACAGCTGTTTTATTATTTTTCCCGAGATAATGTCCTCCATTCAGGTAACAGAAACAGTCTGATACGTTATGGTAAATCAGACGTTAGTGTCACAATAAATGGCAGCTAGCTTACAAGCTTTAAACAGGTAAGCCGTTTAAAGCAACAAAACAGG